ATTGTATTTATGGTACTGGGCATTGAATTTTGCCCTGTAAAATTCAAATTGCCCTGTAAAATTATGTCGCCTGCGGGCTGAGAAAGGCGGTATACAAATACAGTAAACAAACAAATAAATAAATATTTCATTTTCCTTTTGTTCATGGATTACCCTTTCAGTCCTTCCCAGGACAATGTTTCCTCTTTATAATAACAATTTGACGTGCAAAGAACCGTGTTTACACAGGGTTGTTGTAGGTTTTTCTGGGCTATATGGCCATGTTCTAGAGGCATTTTCTCCTGACGTTTCGCCTGCATCTATGGCAAGCATCTCAGAGGTAGTGAGGGTGCTTGCCATAGATGCAGGCGAAACGTCAGGAGAAAATGCCTCTAGAACATGGCCATATAGCCTGGAAAAACCTACAAAAAACCCCGTGTTTACACACTTTTCCAATATTATTAGTAGTGTAGATAGTACTGTATTCCTGGAGCCCCCAGTGGCGCAATAGGTTCTTATATCAGCAGGATTGGTGAGTGGGGTGAGCTCCCGTCTGTCAACTCCAGCTTCTCATATGGGGACATGAGAGAAGCCAAAGATCGTAAAACATCTGGGTGTCCCTTGGGCAATGTCCTTGCAGATGCGCAATTCTCTCACACCAGAAGTGACTTACAGTTTTTCGTGACACACACACACACAAAAACTGTATTTTTATTGTTTCTGTTATTATTTTGGTTCCAGGTTTAGGGTGCATCTCCATTGTAGAATCCCTGCAGTTTGATACTACTGGAATAGCTCAGTACTATGGACTCCTGGGAATTGTAGTTTGGCAAGACACCAATGCTATATGACAGAGAAGGCTAGAGACCTTGGAAAACTACAAGTGACATGAGCATTGAGTCATGGCTGGCCAAGTGATGTCTACCTGCATTCACTGTGTGGATACACCCTAAATCTGGAAACACAACAATAACAATTATAATAGTTTTATTACGAGATGTGCCTCAGGCATGGGCAAACTTGGGCCTTCCGGGTGTTTTGGACTTCAACTCCCACAATTCCTAACAGCCCCAGGCCTCTTTCTGGAAGAGGCCTGGGGCTGTTAGGAATTGTGGGAGTTGAAGTCCAAAACACCCGGAAGGCCCAAGTTTGCCCATGCCTGCTCTACAATATTACCCAGTATCTGAGGGAGAAAAAAGGTTTTATGTGAACCCATAGCTTGGCCATCTTACGTCTTCACACTAAACCTTCCAAAGGTGCCTTGAAGTGGAAAAGTAGTACAGACTTAGAAATGCATTTGCCAAAACCTTTCAATTAAGGCAATCTGCAAATGGACACAAGGTATGGTATGACGGAAGGTCCTCATAATCACTAATTGTCCCCTAATATATCAATATTATTTCCAGGTTCTCGTGACGTTCTTCCAAGTTAACAAACTTTGCTTCAGATAGAAGATGGCTATATCTGGAGACAAGCACAAGATGGCAGCATCTCAGAAAATTTTGCTCCAGAAACAGACTTTAGGCACCGTGTATTTTTCTCCAAAAACACAAGGTATGTATGTGGTGATGCACCCTGTAGTGTTTAAATGTTTAAATAATACGTCACAGTTTACTACTTCAAAAACAAACACATCCTGTTGCTTATTTATTTATCGTGTCAGAAGCAAATTGAGGGTGCAGTTATAATGTATTTAAAAACACAAACAAAGTTAAAAACTTGGCATTATACTAAATTTCCTTTCATAGAATCAAGGAGTTGGAAGAGACCTCATGGGCCATCCAGTCCAACCCGTGCCAAGAAGCAGGAACACTGCATTCAAATCACCCCTGACAGATGGCCATCCAGCCTCTGTTTAAAAGCTTCCAAAGAAGGAGCCTCCACCACACTCCGGGGCAGAGAGTTCCACTGCTGAACGGCTCTCACAGTCAGGAAGTTCTTCCTCATGTTCAGATGGAATCTCCTCTCTTGTAGTTTGAATCCATTGTTTCGTGTCCTAGTCTCCAGGGAAGCAGAAAACAAGTTAGCTCCCTCCTCCCTGTGGCTTCGTCTCACATATTTATACATGGCTATCATATCTCCTCTCAGCCTTCTCTTCTTCAGGCTAAACATGCCCAGCTCCTTAAGCCGCTCCTCATAGGGCTTGTTCTCCAGACCCTTGATCATTTTAGTCACTCTCCTCTGGACACATTCCAGCTTGTCAATATCTCTCTTGAATTGTGGTTGACCAGAAGCTGGCCACTTGGAGTGGTTCTACTGTCGCTGTAAGGAGGTCCTCCATTGCGCACGTGGCAGGGCTCAGACTGAATTATAGTAAGTTGTCTGTGGTTTGCTCTTCTGCACACTCCTGGACTCCACTCTGTGGCCCCATTTTTTAAGGTTGGCTCTGCATCTCATGATAATAATAATAATAATAATAATACTCTTTATTTATACCCCACCACTATCTCCCCAATGGGGACTCAGAACGGCTTACATGGGGCCAAGCCCAAACAACATATTACAGCAAAAATAAAATCAAAACATAAACAACAAGCAACATCATCAAAATTACATTGAAAAAAACATTTGAATACAGTAACAAAATAACATTACAATAAACACAATCGCAGAGACAGTGGGCAGGCCACATGTACAGGATAAAATGTTTAAAAACTCTAATGAGATAAGAATAGGAGCAAGTTATTTGCAGGGAGCTGATAAAGAAACACAGGGTTGTGAACTAAACTTCCCATTTGGGGGGGGGGGTGTACTCCAGTGACAGAAACGTTGAGGGGAGCAGTAGTGCAGCCTGTTCAGCACCTTGCAAGTCTCCCAGTCTTCTGTGTGCCCAGGAGGGAGTTTCTCATCTGGTCTCAGCCACTGATTCAGTTTCTGGGTTTTAACCTGCCACTTTTGGACTCTTGCTTGCTGAGATGTTCCTGTGCTGCAATGCTACAATAGGATTCCTTCCCACATAATCCTCAGAGCTCGAGATGCTTGTTTGTTCTTTGGATGAAAAGCACACGTCTGCATTTTAGATGAATTAGGAGTCAGCTGGTTTTTCCTGTAATAGGTAGTAAGAGCACCTAAAGCTTCAGAGAGCTTCTGTTCAACCATTTCAAAGCTCTCTGCTTCAGTGGTGATGGCATGATCGTCAGCATAGATGAAATCATGTTGCTTATTTTTTAAGTTCAGGAAGTTGCTAGATTATTTTATTTAATTATTTATTGTTCAAACTTATATGCCGCCACTCCCCTGGGGCTCAGAGCGGCTTACAAGAACAGGCTAAAATCTAACACAATTTAAAAACAATTTAAAAACAATTTCAAACAATTTCAAAACAGCAATATCAAAAATCAAAGGCCTGTCGAAACAGATATGTAAACACGGTTCTTCGCACGTCAAAGTTGGCTTGGTGACCTTGTGATTGCCTAGCCTTCCTCACTAAGTTGTTTGTTGAAATGAAATGAGCGAGGAGACAGGAATTTTGGGAAAACCAGGAATCTCCACAGGCTTTTTGGAAGCATGACTTCCAAAAGAGATGTTTTACTTATTGTTTTAAGTGTTATTTATAGTGGCATCGAATTGCTGTCAAATGTAAGCCGTCCTGAATCCCTCTTTGGAGGTTGAGAAGGAACGGGATAGAAATACCAGAAATAAATAAATAAAATAAATGAAGGAATCCTAATCAGTCAGCAACAGTAATGCATGTCTTTTTTTTTTTTTGGCCAAATTACAAAAACTACACTTTTTGCCACTGCGTATCACATTCGGCAGCAAACACTTTTTTTTTCTTGGTTTCAGAATTTTGAAAATTGAGCTTCACATTAGATTCGATGGCATATTAGACTCGAGTAAATACTACGGGTATATGTGAAGCAGGGTTGTTACGCAAGTTTGATCCTCAGTGAATAATTACTACTGGCAGTACACCTACATTGAAGCTGTCAGAATCTCTCTCCTTAATCCTAATTCATTAAGTAGATGCTATTATGAGAGTTTTTTTTTTATAATTCTGGAATCACAAAAGATACAATCAGTGTTAAACATTGTAAATGCAAGTTTCCAGAAAGATTTAGACTATTTCCCTGCTCCTCACAAATGTCTTTTTCCAACAGTACACACCCATGAAGAACAAGTCCTAGGACTTCTGCTTATGTATGCATGAGAACAAATACTGTATATACTTGAGTATAAGCCTAGTTTTTCAGCCCTTTTTTAGGCTGAAAAAGTCCCTCTCGGCTTATACTTGAGTCAAGATTATTTATTATTGAATTCTGTTATTGTTATTATTACATTTATCATTTTACTCTTATTATTATTACATTTATTTTATTTTATTATTGTTATTATTACATTTATTATTTCACTCTCTTTATTATTATTGGAAGAATACATAAGCACATTTCCATTGAAGAAGGTTAGAATAATGGGTTAATCAGAGTTGGACAGTCTTATCTTAAATTACACTTTTATGTAAATATTCAAAAACATTTAACCTTCTGATGCCTCAATTAATGTAATTGTATTGATATTTATATTTTGAAATTGACCAGTAGCTGCTGCATTTCCCACCTCAGTGTATACTCGAGTCAATACATTTTCCCAGTTTTTTTTGTGGTAAAATTAGGTGCCTTGGCTTATATTCGGGTCGGCTTATACTCGAGTATATACGGGTATATCACCTGTGCAATTCTACTTAAAAGGGACCATCACTATCCCATCACAGTATTATTTGGGAGGCCAGCCCAACAAAGCAGAAATCTTAGTATCCACTTAAAACTGTGCCCTTGTTTCTTGTTTTAATACTTGCCTGCAATGGATAAGTGCTTTGATATCCTGTCTTCTTCAGTGTAACTTTCTACAATAGACTCGTTTTGTTTGTTGCGAAGCGGTTTAGAGAATTACAAAGTGAACAGTAGCCCAGCTATTCTCCTCTCTGCCTTTTTGTGGTTGTGGAGATGCCTATTAACGCTTGTAAAAGGCTAATTAGTGTAAAGTAATCCTCTTAGGGAGCTGGAAGCACTGTGCGTGGCAGTTTCTTTTGCTTTTTGTGCTTTTATAATTCGAACCTAGGCCTCTGCTTTTCCAGTCAAATTGCCCTATCTATCGGCAGGCGATACCCCCTTGCCTTCCCATGGCGTGGCTATAGACCCTGGAAGGCTGCAAGCGTCTGACAGAGAGCGGCAATCCTTTCTTTTTATTTATTTTTAGCTTTAAATGCAAACATGTTTAGATGGCCGGTCCGGTCTTGGTTTTATAACTGTGCAAAACCGACCAAAAAAGAAAGCACAGATAGGAACCAGTGGCTTGCTGATATCCTAAGCAACCACAGGGAGAGAATCGTGAGAGAGCTGGATGTGCAGAAAGTGCTGTCATATCTGGTTTATGAGAGAGTCTTTTCCTTGGAGGAGTACAAAGACATTTTGTCCCGGGAGTGCTGCGAGAAGCAAGCTGCCTATTTTTTAGAGAAACTGGTTTGCAAAGGGCCCGGTGCCCTGTCCGCGTTCTGCTCGGTGCTGGAGGAGGTCTGTCCCCACTCGTTCATTTCCGTTCTCCTTGGCTACCAAGGTAAGGTCATAGGTCCTGCCGTCTGAAATGTTCCAAGTGTGTTATCGGCAGAGCCTTCGAATCCTTCCACACAAATGGTCTATAATTAGAAGTTACTTTCTCTCGCTTGTGCTCCTCCGCTTGCTCTCATTATAGCTACTCTGTTGAAAGAAACAGAAGAAGAGGACAGAAATAATTGTGGGGGATATAGGAAATGCTTTAAATCTCTCTGTAGAAGCCATGGTAGTAAAATAGAAATGAGTTAATACCATCAGTTGGGATAATCAACGATGCAGAAGAACCAGCTGGTTGATAATAAATATTCTCAAGTCGGGGGAAATGTTAATTTGATTATGTAGTGGCCACTTGAATACTTCAGTAGACTATTCAGTGTACACTTGCAGATACGTTGCCTTAGTGGTCTGAGAGAGAGAGAAGATAGATACGCAAATAGCAATACACTTTGTGTTGCAGAATGTATTGTTCTGTGAAATCATGGTAGGATTATTTGATGAAAATTGTGACTGAAGAAAGATATGGTCAGCACATGACTGAAAAACACATTGATAGAAGTGGGTTGTGACATGCAAGTGAATGTGGCATACTTCAGAGTCTGCAATATTACACACCCCTCCAGGGGAAATAATCATAGGTCAGATGACAACATATAAACCAACTGGATTTAAGGACAGATGTGGATAGGTCTGCAGGCTTAATCCCAGTGATTTCAGGGATCAGTTTAATACAATTCCATGCATCTTTACTCAGAGGCAAGCCTCCCTGCATTCAATAGTTTATTTGCCCAGGTGTACCTTGGTTGGCAGCCTTAAGCCAATTGTTCCTGGCAAAAGCAGGCTGAGGACTGATATGTGTATGATAGTTCAACAGCAGTGTTTCTCAACCTTCCTAATCCCTTAATGTAGTTCCTCATGTTGTGGTGACCCCCAACCATAACATTTTTTTCATTGCAACTTCATAACTGTAATTTTGCTACTGTTATGAATCGTAATGTAAATATCTGACATGCAGGATGTATTTTCATTCACTGGTCCACATTTGGCACAAATACCCGATATGCCCACATTTGAATACTGGTGAGGTTTGGGAAGATTGATTTTGTCATTTGGGAGTTGTAGTTGCTGGGATTTATAAACAAAGAGCATTCTAAACTCCACCAATGATGGAATTGAATCAAACTTGGCACACAAAACTCCCACATCCAATACAGAAAGGGTTTGCTGGGCATTGACCTTGAGTTTTGGAATTGCAGTTCACCTATATCCAGAGAGCACTGTGGACTCAAACAATGACGGATCTGGACCAAACTTGGCACAAATACTCAATATGCCCAAATGTGAACACTGTTGGAATATGGAGAAAATAGATCTTGAGATTTGGGAGCTGTGGTTCCTGGGATTTTTAGTTCACCTACAATCAAAGAGCATTCTGACTCCCACCAATGATAGAATTGGACCTAACTTCCCACTCAGAACCCCCATGACCAACAGAAAAAAACTATATTTTCTGATGGTCTTTGGTGACCATTCTGAGACCCCCTCGTGACCCCCCCTCAGGGGTCCCGACCCCCAGGATGAGAAACTCTGCCTTAGTGGTTTGAGAGATATATGATGGATAGGTATGCAAATAGCAATACACTTTGCACTGCAGAATGTATTATTCTGTGAAATTAAGCTAGGATTATTTGATAAAAATTGTGACTGAAGAAAGATATAGTCAGCACATGACTGAAAAACACATTGATAGAAGTGGGTTGTGACATGCAAGTGAATGTGGCATACTTCAGAGTCTGCAATATTACATACCCTTCAGGGGAAATAATCATAGGTCAGATGCCAACATATAAACCAACTGGATTTAAGGACAGATGTGGATAGGACTGCAGGCTTAATCCCAGTGATTTCAGGGATCAGTGTAATACAGTTCCATGCATCTTTACTCAGAGGCAAGCCTCCCTGCATTCAATAGTTCATTTGTCCAGGTGTACCTTGGTTGGCAGCCTTAAGCCAACTGTTTCTGACTCAAGCAGGCTGAGGAGTGATATGTGTATGTTAGCTCTACAGGTTCTCACATTGCTGCAGGAGAGAGGCTAATTAATCTAAAGGTAGTTAGCACCTTAATTATGCACATCAAATTAAAACAAAAAAACCTAAGGACCCTGCAGGTTTTATAATAATCTATTTTTAAATGTAACAGCTACTAAGGCTTGTTGGGTAGAAATAAGTGTCTGAAGGTAATTTGATCTCTGAAATATATGCCTCTTACACCTCCATTATTTCACACTTGTAAACTTAATTACCTTTAAAACTGAGTTACAAGTCCTATGATTCAGTAATGTGATGGACCGTTTGCCACAATTTACTGATCAACATATGACCATATATCTCTCTGTTTCCTACCCTTATGATTTACTGGACAGGTTTATGATCCTGGGAAGGGTGCAAAACAGTGTCAGGGAAGGTATTTCAATATATAAATGAATCATACCATGTGCTAATACAGTGTATGCTTTTTGCAAGTGGGTGGTGCAGCAGTTAAACCACTAAGCTGCAGAACTTGCTGATCAGAAGATTAGTGGTTCGAATCCACAGATGGATTGAGCTCCCATTGTTAGCCCAGCTTCTGCCAATCTAGCAGTTTGAAAACATGCAAATGTGAGTAGATCAATAGGTACTGCTTTGGCAGGAAGGTAACGGTGCCTCATGCAGTTGTACTGGGCACATGACCTAGGGAGTGTCTATGGACAATGCCAGCTCTTCAGTTTAGAAATGGAGATGAGTACCACCACCCAGAGCTGGACACAACTAGACTTAACGTCAAGGGAAAACCTTTACTTTTTATCAAATAGAAAATCCCACTAAAGTTAAAATATTAGGCAGGGTTTGAGAGGACTCTCCAAAAAGCACAGCTTCCTAGAATATTTTTCAGTCTTTATCCAGCGTTTCATTTTTACATGTTTGAAAACAAAGAGGAAAAGCATGAAAAAAAATGTAATTGTTTCATGAATGTAAAAATTAAATATTATGGGCCATTAGAGTAGCTTAGCTGGGAGCAATAGTCATTTGTTCCTTCCTTCCCAGAAGTATCTCCATCAGTAACCATTCCATTGTGTAATTATGATTATACAAATGCAATGCAAGAATTGGTGCCTGAGGTTTGTTATTCTGAATCCATTTCTCCACACTTCATTTCCCTTTGGTGCTGCATATCATAAACATAGTGACTGGGGATGAGAGAAAAAGAGCAAACAGAAAATTGGTTACTTTATAAAGTTAGAATCAGGATAACTGCTAACAAGCCTCTCTGAGGGTGGCACCCTCAGTTAGGTTCCAAGCAATCTGTGACAAACTCGAAAGGTTGCTTCTTGTTAATCTGGTTCAATTACTTGTATCTTAATAATAATAATAATAATAATAATAATAATAATAATAATAATAATAATAATAATAATAATAACAATTTTTATTTATACCCCGCCACCATCTCCCCAATGGGGACTCGGAGCGGCCTACATGGGGCCAAGCCTGGACAACTTATTACATTAAAATAAAACCAAAACCTAAACAACAAGCAACATCATCAAAATTATATTAAAAATATATGAATAACAAAATAACATTACAATAAACACAGTCGTAGTAACAGTGGGCGGGCCACGTGTACAGGATAACATGTTAAAAAAACTCTAATGAGATAAATATAGGAGCAAGTAATTTGCAGGATCTTACTGGGTATTGGCTCCTGGTCTCATTATGCTTTTGTGCTTGTAATTTTATTTATATTGTTAAAATCTTTTAATTATATTCTGCTAGTGCAGGCATGGGCAAACTTGGGCCCTCCGGGTGTTTTGGACTTCAACTCCCACAATTCCGAACAGCCTCAGGTCCTTTCCTTTTCCCTCTATCTCTACCCCTATGCAGATACCCTTACTGATTGACTTTGCAAACTTCATGGCTGCTCAAATGCTAATGCAAGCTTGCTAACTGCAACGTCCACACTTTCTTGTAACAGACAAGGGTTCGTTCTCCCACCCTAGACATTATTCCACAGGGATAAATACACTCCAGTTGCCCCACTTCCAACAGATCTCTGAAGATGCCATTAGCCACAGATGCAGGTGAAACATTAGGTGAGAATGCTGCTGGAACATGGTCATATAGCCTGAAAAACACACAGAAACCAATAATAATAATAATAATAATAATAACAATAACAACAACAATAATCAATAGTAGTAAACTGCTTGAAGTGCAAAAGACAAAGAGCGAGTACTGTAAAAACACAATCCAGAGCAGAAGAGAAAACTGGCAAAAGAAGGCTCTTCATGGACAGTTCCTGGGAAAAATTGAGAGCCAAATTAACAAAGAAAAAATATGGATATGGCTCACAAATGGAACTTGGAAAAAGGAGACGGGGGGCCTGATTCTGGCAGCTCAAGAACAAGGCATTAGAACCAATGCCATCAAAGCCAAAACTGAAAAGTCGATGAGAGATCCCAAGTGTAGACTCTACAAGGAAGCAGATGAAAGAATAGATCTTATCCTCAGCTGCTGCAAGAAGACAGTCGCGCAGACAGACTACAAGCAGAGGCACAACACCGTTGCTCAGGTGATTCATTGGAACTTGTGCCATAAATACCATCTGCCTGTGACAAAGAACTGGTAAAACATTAAGTGAAAATGATGTTGGAACACAAGCCGGAAAAAGTTACAGAGAATGAACACATCAAGATACTCTGGGACTTCCGGATTCAGACAGACAGAGTTTTGGAGCACAATACTCCTGACCTCACAATCGTGTTAAAAAACAAAGTATGGATCGTCGATGTTGCAATCCCAGGTGACAGCAGGATTAATGAGAAACAACTGGAAAAACTGACACGATATAAGGATTTTTTGGGACTGCAAAGACTCTGGCACAAACCAGTAAAGGTAGTCCCAGTGGTGATCAGCACACTAGGTGCAGTGCCTAAAGACCTTGGCCTACACTTAAACATAATCGGCGCTGACAAGATTACCATCTGCCAGCTGCTAAAGGCCACCTTACTGGAATCTGCATGCAATATTCGCCGATACATCACACAGTCCTAGACACTTGGGAAGTGTCCGACGTGTGATCCACGTCGGACACAAGATGCTGTGGACTCATCTTTTTGTGTTTATAATAATAATAATAATAATAATAATAATAATAATAATAATAATAATAATTTACCAGACTTTCTTCTACAGTGTAGGTCAGGCATGGGCAAACTTGGGCCCTCCAGGTGTTTTGGACATCAACTCTCACAATTCCTAATAGTCTCAGGTCCTTTTATTTCCCCTCTCAGCTGCTTAAGCAGAAAAGGAAGGGGAAAACAAAGGGTCCTGAGGCTGTTAGGAATTGTGGGAGTTGAAGTCCAAAATACCCAGAGGGCCCAAGTGTGCACATGGCTGTTCTAGGGGAATATGACATGGTCAAAAAAAATAAAAACAAGCTGAAAAGCAAAGCAGAAGTCCAAACATAAATGCCAGATTTTCAATTTAGCTGAAGTGACTTTGAACACCCAATGCCAACTAATAAAAAGCCTGTCTTGATTCTTACCCAGGTGTATTAACCAGGAGCTTTACTGATGAAAATTCCGAGACTTCCAAACTAAGAATAGAATCAGAGATGGACTTCCATGAGCACAGCGAAGCCAGCGATGTGGAAGGAAACTCTTTGGCCGATGACCAGATCGACCATTCATTCAACAAATACAGGTTAAATATTCAACAGTATTTTACATAATTTCTGCTTTATTTATTTCATGTCAAAAGCATTACATAAATAAGTATAAAACTGATAAAACATGGTACTGTTTTTATGATGTTATGTTTCATTGTGATATGTTTCTATTTTGTTTTGTTTTATTTTATTGCATTATGTTTTAACTCTGTGCTCTCTGGGCTTGTCCCTTTATAAACTGCCCCAAGTCCCTTCAGGGAGATGGAGGCAGGATATAAAAATAAAGTTATTATTATTATTATTATTATTATTATTATTATTATTAAAAAGAGGGAGCACAAGAGGCTAAATAATTTTAGACCAAAAACGGGTGTCAGAGACTGCATTGTCTGTAACTTTAAACAATTCTTCCTTTGTTCATGAGGCAGGGCATTGTGGGCAAGCATTCAGGTGTGGAGTTGTTTGTTCTGCTCCGTAGTCGCACAAGGTGGAGGATTTTTCTAGGTCAGTGGTTCTCAACCTGGGGTCCCCAGATGTTTTTGGCCTACAACTCCCAGAAATCCCAGCCAGTTTACCAGCTGTTAGGATTTCTGGGAGTTGAAGGCCAAAAACATCTGGGGACCCGTTTGAGAACCACTGTTTGAGGTCAGGCCATTTTGCCAGGTTGTCTTTTGATCTGCCCACTCCACTTCTGAGTCAGTTCAGGGACTTCCAAGTTGTCCATTCTTGGTTTGTCCCTGGAGGAAGACCCTCGGGGGGGGGGGGGGGGGGGGGGGGGGGGGGGCATCCAGTTGGGATTTCCTGGTTTAGCTGCCCAGAGGGATACCCTTCCTGTTGCTGGGGGGATGCCAAGAGGAGTAGCAGTTTTCATGAAGCTTTCCTTGATTTGAGTCTACTGGAAGGAGGCTGATAGCCATGCAGTGGATGGCTTTCGCAGTGTTCAACCTTATTTCTCTCACAGTGTGTCCTCTAGATGTTCAATAGATAGGATGAATCCCTTATTCTTTCTGTTTTTATCACGTCTATGTGGAAAAAGAAGAAATGCCTTTGGACCTACAGCATAGCCATATTCAATGGAAGGGTATAGCAGTGGCAAGGTCATGGAGTTAAGGACATGCAATGCTAGTTCTGGAGTGCTGAAGGGGTTAGGGGTGCTGTTGTCAGTCATGGACTGATAATAAATACATAAATATATTTTGCACATACCTATATTCTAAATCAGTGGTTCTCAACCTTCCTAATGCTGTGACCCCTTAATACAGTTCCTCATGTTGCGGTGACCCCCAACCATAAAATTATTTTTGTTGCTACTTCATAACTGTAATTTTGCTACCGTTATGAATCATAATGTAAATATCTGATATGCAGGATGGATTTCAATTTGCTGGACCAAATTTGGCACAAATACCCGATATGCCCAAATTTGAATACTGGTGGGGTTTGGGGGAGGGGGGTATTGATTTTGTCATTTGGGAGTTGTAGTTTCTGGGATTTATAGTTCACCTACAATCAAAGAGCATTCTGAACTCAACCAATGATGAAACTGAACCAAACTTGTCACACAGAACTTGCACGACCAACAGAAAATACTGGAAGGGTTTGGTGGGCATTGAGCTTGAATTTGGGAGTTGTAGCTCACCTACATCCAGAGAGGACTATGGACTCAAACAATGATGGATCTGGACCAAACTTGGTACGAGCACTCAATATGCCCAAATGTGAACATTGGTGGAGTTGGGGAAAATAGACCTTGACATTTGGGAGTTGTAGCAGATGGGATTTATAGTTACAATCAAAGAGCTTTCTGAACTCCACCAACAATGGAATTGAACCAATCTTGGCACACATAATTTATTATTATTATTATTTACATCGCTTCTACCCCACCCTTCTCACCCCTGAGGGGGGACTCAGGGTGGCTTACATGGGCAACAATTCAATGCTATAATATCAATACAACAACATAAAATCAAATACATAGAAAATTAACAATAACATTAATTAAAATCACATATTCATATACTAACATAGTCGCCTAATCAAAATCACATATCCGTTTCCTATTGTCATAACTCTCATGACCAACAGAAAATACTGGAAGGGTTTGGTGGGCATTGACATTGAGTTTGGGAGTTGTAGTTCACCTACATCCAGAGAGCACTGTGAACTCTGACATGATAGATCTCAACCTAACTTGGCACAGATATTCAATATGCCTAAATGTGAATACTGGTGGAGTTTGGGGAAAATAGACTTGACATTTGGGAGTTGTAGTTGCTGGGATTTATAGTTCACCTACAATCAAAGTTGCATTCTGAACCCAGCCAATGATAGAATTGGGTCACATTTCCCACACAGAACCCCCATGACAAACAGAATATATTGTGTTTTCTGATGGACTTTGGCGACCTCTCTGACACCCCCTAATGACCCCCAAGGGGTCCTGACCCCCAGGTTTCGAAACACTGTTCTAAATGGTCTGCACATAGACCCAAGGAGTTTTTAAAATGACCTGTTTTCAAAATGGAACTATTTTGTTAGGAATGTTTTATATCATCTGTAACCAAGACCAATTTTCTAAATGAATGATTGATCTGAATAGTCTCTCCTGAAGCAAAAATCCAAACGTCATTGCTCTGACCTCTTCCCCACTCTAAGTTTAGAATTCATATTCCCCATATCATGACTCCTGGCAGTAGGGCTGCAAACACATTTGTGACAGAGCTATGCTTATTAAACTACAGGGCAGGTTGCTTATAGGAATAAACTAATTAAAAATGTGCCTCAATCTTTTCTTAAGCATTGCATCAGAACAGGAGAGGATAAATAGAGACAGCCCTCAAGCCCACGCGCGGTGGGAATGCTACTTAATGACATTGAAATAAATAAATTAGATTAATCCCAGAAAAGATACATTAAGCTGTGATCCAGCTCTTTTCTTGAGCTACCCCTGCTGATTTTAACCAGACTTGGCACGGGGATTTGATCTAAATGGGTCCTAGAACAAATCAAACATGAGCTTTCTCCAGAAGCCAGGATGACTAAATTGAGACTGCTGTGCTTTGGACATATCATGAGAGGAGATGACTCAATAGAAAAGCAATAATGGTTGGAAAGTCAGAAGAAGAAGACTGCAACCCAGATGGTTAGATTCAAGCAAACAAGTCATGATTGCCCTAAATCTGTATGACCTGAGCAGACGGTTGAGGATGTGGGGAGTAGGGTGTGGTTTCTGACTCTGCTTGGAGCTGTCCATGGTGCTGACTCTCCTGTCTTCTATATAAATAAAAATGTAATGTTCGTTTGTGGGATTAACAGAACTCAAAAACCACTGGACAAATTGACACCAAATTTGGACACAAGACACCTAACAACCCCATGTATGTCCTTCACTAAAAAAAAAATGATTTTGTCATTTGGGAGTTGTAGTTGCTGGGATTTATAGTTCACCTACAATCAAAGAGCATTCTGAACCCCACCAACGATGGAATTGAACCAAACTTGGCACACAGTTCTCCCATGACCAACAGAAAATACTGGAAGGGGTTGGTGGGCAGTGTCCTTTGGTTTTGGAGTTGTAGTTCACCTATATCCAGAGATCACTGCCGACTCAAACAATGATGGATCTGGACCAAACTCTACACAAATACTCAATATGCCCAAATGTGAACACATTTGGAAGGAGTCTAGAGTATATCCTAAAGTGTCAATATGTTCAGTTATAGGCTGCATAAACCAATACTTACTTTCTACTGGACCAGTTTAATTTCATGACATCCGGGTTATAGAATATTGATAAGGGAAAGATTAAAGTTGAGCTTGGAGACTGGCCAGGTTTTCTAAAGCAAAAATGGATTGATTCTTTTCATTCAGAGCACTGAAATGCCATTCACATAATTCTGTGTTTATAGACTTTATTTTGTAACTCTGTGCTAAGGCGTGTGGCAGCAGAAAGTATTCTTTCTGAAGCCAATTATAGACATGCTGAAGGTGTTTAATAAGAATTTTGTTCCTTCTGTTATGGAAAAAAAAAGTAGCCTGCTTATAATACTGAAACTTGAGTGAGATCTCCAGGAAACTGTATCTATAAAAATGTCAAAAGAATATAGCATAACTCAGAGCCAAGCAAATATGCCACCCACACAGCCCTGCATAAATTCCTACACAGCTGAAAACCAAGGTAACGGTTTCTCTTATCAACCCAGCACTCAACCGGAAGGTACCAGTTTTGCCTATAAATAAAAGCATACACAGGCATCGGCGGTGGCTGGGAGGGCCTTCGCACAATTAAGACTCGTTCGCCAGCTGCAACCGTACCTCGTTAAGTTGGATCTGGCCAGGGTGGTCCATGCCTTAGTCACCTCCAGATTGGATTACTGTAATGCACTCTATGTGGGGCTGCCCTTGAAGATGGCCTGGAAATTCCAATTGGTACAACGGGCAGTAGCCAGGTTACTAACTGGGGCGACTTACAGGGAGCCGTCAACCCCCCTGTTTAAGGAGCTCCATTGGCTGCCGTTCATTTTCTGGTCCCAATTCAAGGTGCAGGTTCTTACCTTCAAAGCCCTGAATGGTTTGGGACCTGCCTACCTGTGTGACTGCATGTACCAACCCACATGATCTCTTCGATCATCTGGAGAGGCCCTGCTCTTGCTCCCACCCCCCTCACAGGCGCAATTGGTGGGGACGAGGGAGAGGGTCTTCTCGGTGGTTCCGACTCTGGAACTCACTTCCCAAGGATATCAGGCAAGCCCCCACATTGGCAGTCTTTAGGAGGAGCCTGAAAACGTGGCTGTTCCAGTGTGCCTTCCCGGAATAAGGAAATAATTCCCAGCAATATGTCCTCAGAATGCACTTTAACTATTTGTTGGATTGCGCTCCCCTCATTTCTTTTAAAACCCTCCTACCAGTTATATTCTACCTTGTTCATGCCCAGCGTTTATTTTTTAATTTTTAAACTATTACATTTGGCCCGGCCATAGGTTTTTAAATCTTTGTGTGTTATTATTTATATGTGACTTATATTCATTGTAAA